TCTTAGGCTGTTCAAGGATGTTCATAGCAGCACTATTTGTAATAGCCAGAAACTGGAAGCAGCCTAGATGCCCCTCAACCAAAGAATGGATAGAGAAAATGTGGTACATTTACACAATGGAGTACTACTCAGCAGAAAAAAACAATGGAATCTTGAAATTTGCAGGAAAATGGATGGAACTAGAAGAAACCATTCTGAGTGAGGTAACCCAATCACAAAAAGACAAACATGATATGTACTCACTCATATGTGGATTTTAGAGATAAAGGATTACCAGCCTACAATCCACACTGCCAGAGAAGCTAGTAAACAAGGAAGAGCGTAAGATAGACATACATGGTCCTCTGGAGAAGGGGAAAGGGACAAGATCCCCTGAGCAAATTGAAATCATGGGAAGAGGGGGGAGGGAGCTAGGAGAATGAGAAAGGAAGAAGAGGAGGGATGCAGAGGACATGAGGGAGCAGAAAGGTTGAGTCAGGGGAAGAATAGAAGATAACAAGAATGGAGATACCATAATAGAGGGAGACATTTTAGGTTTGCAGAGAAATCAGGCACTAGGGAAATGTCTGGAGATCTACAAAGATGATACCAGCAACAATCTAAGCAACAGAGGAGAGGCTACCTTAAATGTCCTCCCCTGATAATGAGATTGATGACTGACTTACATGTCACCCAATAGCCCTCATCCAGGAGCTGGTGGAAGTAGAAGCCGACACCCACAACTAATCACTGAACTGAACTGGAATCCAGATGCATAGAAGGATGAGTGAAGAGCAAAGGGGTCCAGACCAGGCTGGTGAAACCCACAGAAACAACTGACCTGAACATCGGGGAGCTCCTGGTCCCCAGACTGATAGCTGGCATACCAGCATGGGACTGATCCAGGCCCCTGGAACATGGGTTTCAGTGAGGAAACCTTGGAAATCTACAGGACCTACTGTAGTAGTTCAGTAATTATCCCTAGCATAGGTGTGGATTTTGGGAGCCCATTCCACATAGAGGGATACTCCCTGAGCTAATACACATGGGGGTGGGCCTAGGCCCTATCCCAAAGGTTATGATAGACGCTGATGATACCTTATGGAAGGCCTCACCATCCAGGGGGAGCAGAAAGGATATGTGATAGATAGGGTTTTAGTTGGGGGCGGGTGGGAGGAGAAGACGGGAGGGAGAAGGGAACTGGGATTGTCATGTAAAACAATCTTGTTTCTAATTCAAATAAAAAAATCTGAAAGAAAAAAATATTGAAAACTTGAAATAAAAGAAAAAAAAGAATCCCTTTTTATAGCACTCACTTTGGGTGTGAGGCATAAAATAATTAACCTTGACTGACCAGGAAATTCCCTTCTTCCTAGCTAGCTTACACAGTACCAGAAGATGCTAGGAGAGAAAAGAGATCATGATCTCCCCTAGTGGAGGAACCCTACCTATTACAATAACAACCTGCTTGTAATAGTGGCATGGCAGTTATGAGGGTAACCAACTAACCATTTTCTGATTAGATATAAGGCTTGCTTTTTTTTTTTTTCTTTTTTTTTGGTTTTTCGAGACAGGGTTTCTCTGTGGCTTTGGAGGCTGTCCTGGAACTAGCTCTTGTAGACCAGGCTGGTCTCAAACTCACAGAGATCCGCCTGCTTCTGCCTCCCGAGTGCTGGGATTAAAGGTGTGCGCCACCACCGCCCGGCTAAGGCTTGTTTTTCATACCTGATAGTATAAGCCTGGTCAAAACCATGGCTGGGAGATGACAGATGAGAGGGAACTACTGTTGCTTTGCTGAATGGTCATGATGTTAAACTGCCTTCTTAGTATTTATGTTTAGACCATAGACTCGTATGGCTCTCAACTTTGGTCAGAGAAGCTTCTTATAATGGGTAATGGTTAATGCAGAAATGCATAACTGATCAAAGTGCCAAATATAAATAACTATGAATGCTTAATTATGGATGAATCGTCTTAGCATCTGCCAAACCATTTCAGGGATGTTAAGAGCTGGCAGGTGGGGAAGAATGATGTGAAATGCTGACTTTGGTTATGACATGGTAGCTGTACACATCAACTCACAGCACCTGGGTTACCTGGACAAGACCAGATCAAGCCAGTCAAAATTCCAGCATGGATAAAGGACCTTGGGGGCCCCACCCTTGCCAGAAGAGCTACTGGCAGTCGATGGCTGCTGAGGGAGGGAGACTAACTATCTTTTGAGAATGTGGCCACTGGTAGATTGTCCGTGGTAGTTTATGAATAGCCTCACACCCATGCACATATGGAGGTAATGGTGGTTGATAGGATCAAAATACATTATAAAACTTTCAAAGAATGAATAAAAATATTACCAGTAAAAGAATATCCCTTTCTCAAGATCAGGGATATTAAACACACACAAATAACACAAGTACTCTATAGTAAGGTCTGAAATTCTGTGTTGAACAAATGTGCTATTTATCCCAATTCTACTCCTTGGTGGCATTTTTCTTGGTGCTTTAGTCCTCTTTCCAACCATTCTTGGTTCACCCAAATAAATACCCACTTATTCCCAACTTTATTATTCTCAGATCTGCTGGATTCCAACATGCTATCAAGATCATAAACCAACAAAAGACATTGCGGCCTAAAAACCCACTTTCTGGTAGGACCCGCTTACACAGAAATCCATCTGCCAAATAGGCTGTGCTTGCTCATCGCTGCCAACCCCTCATCTGAAACCAGGTCTGCACTGGCAGGTACCTAACACACTGCTAGCTTAGAAGTCCCTTAGTCCCGTCTTTTCCAATTTATCTTCAAAGCGTCTATTTCAGTGCAGCCGATGCACATGCTCTGATGTAGATACCAACTGTCTTTAGGACACATTGAGTATCTGTGTAATGTGCAGGCCAGAGGAACAATATACTCACTTTGTGACCCCATAGTCAATTCCAATTGTTGCCAGGTATTTAGACACAAACCTCTTCTCACAGTAGCGCTTTATAATACAGCTCTAGAAAGACAAAAATGCATGCATTCAGTAATACACACTGGAAAGATGTGTGAAATAAGCACATTACTTCATTAGAGTTTCTTCAGTCACCTCAATGAAAATGAAAGTGTTTTCAAATGCAAAAACTAGCTAACATGGCAGTGGATGCCTGTAACCACAGCACTTGAGAAAGAGAACAGAACAATCAAAAGATCAAGGTCAGCCTCAACCACATGAGACCCTGTCTCAAAAATAAAACAAACCCCAAAAGACAAAAAATAAAAATTTTTTAAAAAGGCATCCAAAGTATAAAAGGTGAGGGTTTTATTTGTTGTTTTGAGGAGGTCTCACTCCTGGCTGACCTGGAACTCGCTTTCCTAGTGTTGGAATTAAAGGCATAAACCACCAACCAGGCCACAAATGAAGATCTTAAAGAAAAGATTTAATTCTTGCCTTCACACTAAATATGGATGTTTTCAGTTTTATTCCCAACCACTGCGCTCTTCTGTTCTGTAGACATTTTCCATCCTTCTACTTTCACCACCACTAAAACGTCCACATCTAGCCATGACTCCCTTCCAGGACCAGATCCGAATGTCTAAGCATCTACTAGATGGTTTCTACTCAAATATCCTGCCATCATTTAATTCAACATGCTTCCAAGTAGCCTGTCTTGCTAACATCTAGCTCTGTTAATCATGCCACCATTTCCCCAATGACAAAGGATCAACTTATCAAAGTCATATTTGATTCAAGGCCCACGTCTTCAAATCTACATTATCATTATTTTTAGTACCAATATTCAAAAACAAAATCAACCCAAATAGATGAATAAAATGTATTACATCATATGCTGGAATATATTTCTATGATATGAAGAACATACTGATATATATCACAACAAAGATTCACCTTATACAAATTATACTAAGTGAAATAAGTCTGTAGTAAAAGATTATAAAGTATGTAACTCCATTCATATGAAATAGCCAGAACAGGCAAATCCATAGAGGCAGGAAGTGGGTTAATGGTTAGGGGAAACAGGGAGAGCCTGTTAATTGCTGTGTTGTTTCCCCACCCCCTAGGGGATGATGAAAATATCCTACAATTGATCATAGTAATGGTTTCACAACTGTGAATCAACTGAAAATCACTGAGTTCTATGTTTTAAATAAGTGATTTCTATGTGAATTATATCACATGAAGGCTTTTGTCTTAAATTTAAATTTTATTTTTAATTGTGCGTATGTGTATATGTCTGTGGATGTATACACATGTGAGCACAGGTGTCAGTGGAATACAGAAGAGGGCGTTAGATCCCCTAGAGCTGGGACACAGGCAGCTGTGAGTCACCCCATCTGACTTGGGTGCTGGGAACTGAATGTTGGTATTCTGAAGAGTAGCAAGGGCCTTTAACAACCTCCCTCCAGCCCTCAAAGGCTTTTAATTCAAGAATTTTTATGGTTATAAGATTATTTACAGTATTTTCCCCTCCAATTTGATTGTGTGTGCATGAACACATGTGTTTGTCTGTCTATCTGTGAGTATGTGTTGTATGTATGTGCCCCGTGTCAGAGGTCGACTTTTAGATATTTGGGAAAAGGTTCTCTCCTTCTACCATGAGTTCTGGGGACTGAATGAAGTCACCAGGCATATACAGTAACGGCTTTTTATTCCTTTCTATGTGAGAAACTTGAGATTTCTCAGTGACCCATGTTTCTATTCAATTCGACTTCTTGAATTGACAAACAATGTACCACAAGGCCCCATGCCAGTTTTCAGTGTCCTAGGATCTGAAATTAACTAACATGCTCGTACATCATTGGCCTCACGTCTTTTTACATACTATGCTAATTTCTATAGCATATTTTTAAACCATGGTTACAATTTTATTTAATCTATTAAGCACATTTTTCAAAAACTGTACAACTTCTATCTACATGAAAGCCAAAATTTAGGTAGAAAGGGGAGTTTTAATTAAGCACATGGATGTCATTCTTCAGTGGCCATCCATCTTCCTTTTTGAGACAAGGTCTCTCTTGGGACCTGGGACTTGCTGATTAGGCTACCATAGTTGCTCAGCGAGCCCTGGGATCCATCCACCTGTCTCTGCCTGCCCAGCACTGGGATTAGAAGTCTGTGCCACTATCAGGTTTTTGCAGGGATTAGAGGTATAGAACTGTTTTCCATGTTTGCACAGCACCACCTGAGCTATATTCCCAACTCTCCTTGTTTTTTAAAAGAATTTGAACACAGTTAATAAATGTTAAATTGCAGCGAACGTTTTGTTACCATATACACAACAATACATAAGTAGTGTGTGTGTGGTGGGGAAGCTAAATAGTAAAACACTAATAAATATTCACTGTACATTTAAGTGCAGCACACTCGTTTAAATAATCCCACTAGCAGGTCTTCTGCATTTGGGAGAGTGTAGACTCCGCTTCTAATCCCCCTTCGTGTCACTGATTTGCCGACCTTGGGATTCTTAACCAACAGCTTCCGCTCATTAAGAGAGAAAACTTGAGTAAGAATAGCTATCTAAATTCATTTGGGAAAAGCCTTAGGTCACCGCTGCCCATCGGAGAGGAAGTTTAATAGGTAGCTCATATGCAGCAGATGGAGCACACAGAAAGACAGTACCAAAAATAAACAACAACAACAACAAAAAATAAATGACTTCGCTGAGAAAATGAACGTGATAGTATGAGAAATTTAAAACAAAAATAACGTAGGATCCTGGGCGGCCAGTGAAACACATTGGGTTGTTATGTTCTATGCCCGGCGACAATTAATCCATCACCTCACAGGCATCCCTTTAAAAGCCACATCTAGGAGGCAAGGACTGTCCCCACCTCACGTCTGCTACCCCTCTCTGGGAAAGCAAATTCGGTATCTAAGCTATAAATTTGGGACCTAGGCCTCCTCACCACCTTCAAATTAGTCAAAGGTCAGAGGCCACCCCAGACACGGTCTTGTGGACAGTGACGTCAGTAAAGAGCGTGCAACCCAAAGGTCAAAAAGGTCAAGATAGTTTTCCTCTCGAGGCCGCAAGCCCCTGTGAGCGCAGGGATGCTCCGGGAGTAGGGAAGAGGCGGGGCTTCGGGCTGTTGAGCGGCCCCTCTCTCAGCCAATGGGCATGACTCTCTAGAACGCGGAGGTCCCGCCCCTCGCCGCCTGCGATACTCACTTTCCCCACTTCGGCGTTGCCCATGGAGATGACTTTGATGCGGAGGGACTTGGCAGGCTCCTTCCGCTTCGGCACGTTGGTCTCCATCACCCTCGCTCTGCCGAGGCTGCCGGTTCCGGTGTCCCTATGCACCCAGCCAGGCCGTCCCTCAGGCTTCCTTGCCCAATGGCGGAGCCGCTGCGCTCGTCACCGCCCTGGCTCCGCGGCTCGCCATCCCCACCGCTGCCTGGCCGCGGACGGACTCGGGCGGTTGGGAAGCGGCGAGCCGCGAAGGGCGAGCCGAGTCTCGCGATGACAGCGCGCCGTGACGTCACTGCGGGGCCCGGGAGGACTAGGGCTTGGGGTCCTGGTGGGCCAGTGCGTCGCCGGCTCCTGCAGGACATCACGGCTTCCTTGCCTGGCCCCAGGGTTGGTCTGCACTTAGTGGCAAAAATAGAGTGGCTGTCACGGGGAGTTTCTGAAATGTAGTGTAAGGCCCAGTCACGCCAAAAATTCTAAGCAAACCATGGCCTTTTTTTCCCTCTCTCTGTCAATACAGTGACCCCTTAGTTTCTGCAGGGCACTGACTCCAGGACCTTAGTAGACTCTGGGGATGTTCCAGTCACATAGAGAAGGCGTAATTATTAGTTTCCAGACAAACGCTTTGATCCCGGCACTCGGGAGGCAGAAGCAGGCAGATCTCTGTGTCAATGCCAGTGGGGCTGTCTAGTATAATCCTGTTTCAGACCAACAAAAATAAATACATACTCTTTAGGTAGCCGTATAATCTTATGTAACGTATGCACATCATCAGCCTACTTTAAATCACCTCTTCGTTACTTGTCACTATTGCTGTGAAGAAACACCATGACCAAAGCAACTTGGGCTTAACTTGCCTCACACTTCCATATCACTGTTCATCATCAAAGGAAATTAGGGCAGGAACTTTGGAGGCAGGAGCTGATGCCACAAGCCACGGAAGAGTTCGGTGTACTGGCTTCCGCCTCCTGGCTTGTCCAGCCTGCTTTCTTATAGAACCCAGGACCATTAGCCTAGGGATGGCACCACCCACTATGGGCTGGGCCCTCGCTCAACAATCACTAATTAAGAAAATTCCCTACAGGCTTGCCCAGAATCTGACGTTATGGAGATATTTTCTTAATTGAAGTTCCCACCTCTGAAAGAACTTTAGTGTGTGTCAAGTTAACATAAAACTAGCCAACATAACTACCCAATGCAAGGTAAATGCTATTATTATGTAAGTAGTTGTCAGTCTATGTTGTTTTCTTTTAGGGAATAATCACACACACACACACACACACACACACACACACACACACACAATCTACATGTTTAATACATATTTGTTGTCTTCTACCCTTCCGTTCCTGGTTATTTTTAATGGACTGTTGCTTCAATCGGCAGACAGCTTTCCAGGGCAGAGGACCACTTGCAAGGTCTCTATTGCTAATCTTAAGAAGGTGGTATCGAGATGAAAAGTGGGCATCAGACTGTGGTTCCGGAAAAGGACCTTAGACAAGCCTTGTTGAAAAACAGTTGCCTTTTGGAGTAAAGGCAGAGGTCTCAGTTTGCTCCTCTCTAGCATAAGTCTAATGGCCCCATCCTCGGGAAGAAAGCTCAGATTGGATGTTTCTTACATTTTTGTTCAGCTCCATGAAGATGTATGATGATTATACCTTCACTCTCTTTGGGTTCCTCCTCTGACCACCGCTGACATCCACTCTTAACACAGCATCTGTTCTCTTTTGCCTTAGCTGACAAGTAAAAGTAGAATCATAAGTCCTACGATAACTTGTTCTCAGAGATGCAGAAAGCAACTGTTTGAAAGTCTGTCTGACAGACACAGTATTTCTTTCGTCAATGATCTCAGCTACAGATGTAAACAGAATTTGACAAATAGTTATCCAGTGACCCAGGGAAAGATGGCTGCCAATTTCTCAGTAATCACAAAGGTGAAGGTGGCATTGCTTCTGCCACCACAGGCTTTAAACATCTTAAAACCTGTTTGGGAAGACAGAATGAAGGCTAGAGTCGTCAATAGTTGTTTAGGTCAGTTTTCGAGCATGTTTAATTTAAAATATTAAATGTTTTCTTTTTAAAGATACAACTTGTTCTGATAATTGACTTGTGATATGTGGTCATGGGAAGGACTGTAGGAGATGATGAGTGAGTACAGCCATGACTTGGGGGACGAGGCTCCAGGACCCATGCGCCTAATGTAAATGGCACAGAAGCTGCATGTAGTCTAATCGTGTTCCCTCATACACTTTAAATTGCCTCTAGATTATTGATAATAAATAATGCAATGTAAATGCCGTGTAAACCGTTGTTATATTATATCGACAAGAAAAAAAGTTTGTGTTCAGTAAAGATGCATTCTTTTTCCCCCAAAATGTTTTCAACCTGTAAACTGTTTAATGCATGGATATGAAATCCACAGTTATGGACCAGGGCCATTGTGCCTGAGGCTCTCTCAGCAAACAGTAGCTGTCTGCTTAAGTTTACTTGTGTGTTTTGTTTTTTCTATAATAATAAAGAGTCTACTGATTTTTTTTTTGAGATACAGTCTCATGTAACACAGGCCAGCCGCAAACTCATGCAGCTGAAGATGACTTTGCACTTCCAGTCTTCCTTCCTCCCCTCCTGAGTTCTAGGATTGCAGATATTGCCACCACATCTGGTTTTATGTGGTGCCAGGGATCTGAAACCAGGGCTTTGTGTGCTATGCAAGCACTCTCCCACCTGAGCTATATCCTCAACCCTTTAAATATGTACTTTAAAGGGTAAATTTGAAATATTTGGGCATATTTAAAGGTATAATAATGAGTTGGGCATGGTGGCACATACCTTGAAGCAGGCAGATCTCTATGGGTTTGAGGCTGGCCTGGTCCCTTGTTAAGTTCATGACCAGTCAGGGATACATAGTGAGACCTTGTCTCGAAAAATAATGAATGGTACCTGGTGTGGTGACACAGGTATTTAATCCCAGCACTTAGGAAGCAGAGGCAAGTGGATCTCTGTGAGTTCAAAGCCAGCTTGATCTACATAGTGAGTTCTACATAGGATAGCCAGAGCTAAATGGTGAGACCTCTCAAAAAAAAAAAAAAGAAAAGAAAAGGAAGGAAGGGAGGGAGGGAGGAAGGAAGGACGGTAGGAAGGAAGGAAAGAAGGAAGGGAGAAATGAAAAAGATGAATACTCAAGTGTCTGCTACCCAGATGAGGAAGTAAAACCTCACTGTCGCTGTGTGTGTCTTTTCCAGTCCTTACCTCCTCCTCTATAAAAGCTTGTGCTTTCAATTTCCAGACATTATAAATGTTTAAATGCACATTTTATATAACCTAAGATTCAGTGTTGCATTTCATCTTTTAAATTATTTTGAGCAGGGTGGTGGTGGTGCACGCCTCTACTCCCAGCACATGGCTCTGTGAGTTCAAAGCTAGCCTGATCTACAGAGCAAGTTCCAGGATAGCCAGGGCTACACAGAGAATCCCTGTCTCAAAAATAAATAAATAAATAAATAAATAAATAAATAAATAAATATTATTTTAAAATAATTTAATGAACACAGCTGGGCGTTGGTGGCACACGCCTTTAATCCCAGCACTCGGGAGGCAGAGGCAGGAGGATCTCTGTGAGTTTGAGGCCAGCCTGGTCTCCAGAGCGAGTGCCAGGACAGGCTCCAAAGCTACACAGAGAAACCCTGTCTCGAAAACACAACAAAAACAAAAAAAATAATTTAATGAAGAAAAGTTTTAGGAACAGCACAAAAATAAATCTTATAGATCTTTGTAAAGCCATCAGTTGTTAAACACTTCAACCCATTTGCTATACAGGTTATGTTTCCCATTTGTACATATGTGCATGCACATTTTCTCAGTCATTTGAAATTAATCTCCAAAATTTTTAAATCCATAAATATTTTGATATTTCTAAGAACAGGAACTTTATCTTACATAGCAGCAATACATATATCAAAATCAGGCAATACAGAGCCATTAAGCCAAAGTGGGTAAAGGTACCTGCTGCCAAACCTGGCAACCTGAGTTCCATCCCCAGGATCCACAAGGTGGAAGGAGAGAACCAACTTCCACAAGTTGTCCTGGATCTCCACACAGACACTGTGGCATAGGCACTCACACACATGACACACACATGCACACAAAATAAAATGTAAAAGGATTTTTAAAATCAGGCAAGACAGCATTTAAACAGCATTAATCTATGGCCTCAGGATTCTCAAACTACATTGAGATCTCCACAGTCCCACAGTGAATTTACAGAGGATAACTGTAAGGTTCCAAATTTTCAAGGCAAACAAAATGAATCCAAAAAAAAAAACTTCGGGGGGGGGGGGGACTGCTTTGGTGCTGTTTGCATATTCAACAGTAGATGGTGCCACATCCCTTGTATATTCATATTGGAGCTGAATTTTCAGGCAGTACTCAGTAAGTGCTGGCTGCAGGTCACATGTATTAGCTTTTGGGTGGCTACTAAATTATTAGAGTATAGATTCTTATTAAGTTGTTTGCACCAAGGTATTTCTTTGGGCCAGTACACAATGTGGAGAGAGAGAGAGAGAGAGAGAGAGAGAGAGAGAGAGAGAGAGAGAGACTAGGCAACAGGGCTTAACATGGGCTTTTGAAATCCCAAAGCTCACCCCCAGTGGCACAAAGAAAGCTAGGAAAACTTGACTTAATGCATAATTCATTCTCAAATTTTGTGCTTTGTCCCAATAATGTTTTTTGGGTGGGGCAGTCAGGTGTCTCCCTCCTGTACAGTCCTTCTTATCTTTTGAAACAGGATCTCTCACTCAATTGGCTCGCTGACTAGCTAGACTTACTGGCCAGAAAGCTCTGGGGGTCCACCACTGTGTGTGCTAGGCAAGAGCTCTATGCCGAGCAACACACACATCCCTGCTTCCCTATACAGTCTATAAATACACACAGAGAGAGACTACATACACACACACACACACACACACACACACACACACACACACA